TTATTAACCCTGTAGGGGGCTGATTGAGTCGGTTTGATCCATTTAGATTTATGTTGTTGCCCACAAATGATAATGACATCCACCAGATTATCAGTCTGAGAAAAGGTTGCTCATGTTAGTAGTTCTTAATCTTGTTAGGAGGTGAATCCGTGGCAGAGGACCAAACGCTTCCTACAGTCCGTCCGTCCTCGTGGCTTCAAAACGAGCTGGCCAGCTGTGTTCTAGCAGCAGCATGATGAGCGTCTAGAAGCAGCAGGAGCAGCGATTTAGTGACTTTGAGCTTCTGTCCTGTTTATGCAGAAAATTATTAAAGCGGGCGTCCACGCTCTACTTAGTGGAAGCATCTGCTGCTGACATTCTTCAGCTGTCAAGGAACATTTGCAACATGCATAATGATGACGGGTAGTGGACAGTCGGGCTGCTCACAAAAACAGTCTAAAGTTAGAGTAAAATTCTGTCTTGATTTTTTTTAGGCAACAAAAATGATTTAGTGTTAAACAGGCAGTAACCTCTGAAGATGCACTTGATTTGTGTTGCTCTGATTTCTGTCCGACCCTCTGAACCAGCTGGTGAGTTGGAAAAGCAGGTTGTCTTTACAAAATGACCAAAATGACGCCATAAACCACAAACTGTAACAGCAGAGAGACTTGTTGGATGTTCAGCTGTCCAGCAGTTCTTCACCTGCTCAGGAAGTTTAACCAACTCTAAGCTAAAAATCACGACTTCATTTGTGTCTCATGAGGAAATTTTAGCAAAGAAATATTTGCTCTGACCAGATTCTGCAAAAAACAAAAAATTCTGCATGTTACTCACTGAGCTGCGAGCAAAAGTTCTGGAACTTTTCAAGTGAAGTGCAGGATGTGTTCACTCAATAATAATAAATATAGAAGCTAATCACAAACCTGAGTAGTACAATATCTATAAGATGTAGAGTCGCCGTTTATCTCAGTGTTGGTAACTCCTGTGGACCCTCAGAGAAAATGTTGTACATTGAAAACGTTAATTATATTTTTGTAAAATAAATACAGTCATGACTCGATAATCAGACACTAAATGTAAAACCTTCTTTTATGTTGGATTGTCAAGACGGAGGTCGAGATACAAGGAGGGCTTGATGCTGGAAGGATCATTGTTGTTAATAGTTACTGTTCATAGTTGTTATAATACTTTTTCTCTTCTGCGCATGTGGGACACTTTTGGGTCGTATGAAGTTCACACAGCAGATCACATACAAGTCGCGTTTAATTAGAAATGTGAACGAACTCACAAAAAAAATCGGATTTCACAAAGAAATCCTCATTGAGCATCAAGTCCTGCAGTGTGAACGTAGCCAATCTGTGGGATTGTTCAGTCAGATAATACGCCGTTATCCTGATTGGTGACATTAAATGTCATGTTGGAGTCAGAATCCAAGGCTGTCGGTATGTTAAGGCTGTTTTTTATGGGTTGAGTTCATTTTTCCTATAAACCTGTCAGATAGCAGGTTTAGGATTCTTAAGGGTCAGATTATTGAGTCACGACTGTATTCCAAAAAATGTAACTTTTGTTTTTCCTCTTGTATGATTTAAGGCTGAGTTCTCTCTGCTCCTAGACATGATGGTTCTGGTCCCATAGAGGTCCAGGACTTTACATTACAGTAAATAAAAAAAGAGCCAACAGTGAGAGAAAACTTTCAAAGCTTCTTGTGGTTCAGAGGCTTAATCCTAAACTGTACATAAACAACCTGGTTCCCTCTTG